ATGTACAGCTGAAACACTAAGAAAAAAGAAAAGGTATTACTAACTTTAACTATGATGTATTTGTGACTGTGTTTGCTTTGTAATAAGTCATGTATAATTAGGTACTGTGTAAAAAAGGAGGTCCTCTGACAGACGTCCATTCGAATTACAGTTGTAAATATCCAAATTTTGTCCAACCCAAATTTAACTGTGTACTATCTAGGAATGAAAACAGTACTTTCCAATGAACTGCTTTTATGTTATGTTGTTTTTCATGGTTATACTTCCTTACAAAAACGTTTCAAACATTTACATTTTTGACAAGGGACTTTTTTTATACTTAGGTTGAAAAATAACATCAGCACATCTGGTAACACTCTTCAGGAAGTTTTGTGTTACCGGCAGTAGGTCCCCGGGACTGTTTCGCAATCTACTCAGTAAAGCTGTTTTCACACGTGAAATCTAGAAAATTTGAGGTGAATCATGTTTGTCTACTCACTTATGCACAAGCACGATCTCTTTTAACCTGCTTATCAAAGTAGGGTCGTGGGAGGGGGCTGGAGCCTATCCCAGCTGACACTGGGCAAGAGGCACAGTACACCACAATCACACACCAGTCCATCACAGGCCTAACACCGACAAACGACAACACACTCTCTCACATCCACACCTGCAGCCAATTGAGAATGGCCTGTTAACCTAACAAGCGTGTCTCTCAACAGCGGGAGGAAGCCAGAGTACCCGGAGAACCCACACAGGCATATGGGAGAACATGTAAACTCCACACGGAAAGCTCCCAGCTGGCCGACAGTTTCAAACCAGAAACTGTCTTGGAGAGAGGTGACATTGCTAACCACTGCACCCCTATGCTGCCCTCAATGGCTGCCCTCTCACTACTATAATAACCTGTTTTAGTTATGCGAGGAAGCCATCTCAGCAGAATGACAAGCGCTTACTAGCCGTGTTTAATGTGCGTTTGCATATGCACATACACCTCGTTTGGGTAATGTTTCGAAAAGTTACCAGTAACCTGAAACTGTGCCATTGCTTGCACTATTATCATGTTCATAACCTTTGCAATAAAACATGCCATCGCCTATTTAACCACAACAAAGTAACTCAGTAAAAAGATGACAATCTACCTAGTGACTAAGCTGAAACTGGACTGTAAAAGTTTTCCATGGTATTACTTCGCTGTCTTGTCTCAGATGGTGATAGACTGTCCCCTTTTCTATGCAACCAGCATGAACTTGCACCACAGCATGCATGAGATCACACATGAATTTATTGTAAAAGTCAAGTAATGTCGTGGAAAAACTGGGGCTTGTTTTTACTGCAGTTGGGTCGGTAAAGAAATGAGTTTTTCTTCATATTTCAGCTGTAGTTTCTCTGGGTTTACGTAGTAGCTGTTCCTCAGTTATTACCAATGGTAACTTCATAACAATACAAAACATTTACCAGTTCAATTAAGAGGCTACAGAAAGGAGGCTTACTGAGAATTCAGTTCAGTGATGATTAAATAATAAATCCTCGCCTGCTGTATTTCTATCACTTTTAGTCGTCCACAGCACCTCAGCTGCTTTTATTTTTTATATAACGGGAGTTTTACTTATGTAACTACAACATTCAAAAAACGCTGCAGCTCGAATGAGAAAGCCCACAGGCAGCGGAGTGGAATTCTGTCTAGTCGCCCAAACTAAATGCCCGGGCTCTGTTACCACAATTCAAGAAAGGCATCTGGATGCAGCAATGCAGTTTTTCCCCTGCTCTCATTCACTTAAACAACCGATGACGTTCACTCGCCTGGCTTGGAATCTGCGACTGCTGCCAGCAAGAGTTGTGAATGGGGAGGCAGGCAGACAGAGGCTTGTGAACACACACACACACAATAAGCAAAGGGTCTACTGCACCGATGCTGCTCGCGTCACAGTGGCTAAGTTCAGGTTACATTTAAACAAAGGAATTTGCCCCACACCCCTCATCGGCTATCGCACACATAAATCTACAGTATGTTCTGATATTATACCTGCTCGCTCGCTCTGACTGTATGTCAGCTATATGTATAACATTAAAGGCCACAGTGTAACAGATCCCACTGAAACAAAGAGCCCTGTCAGGCCTAAGTGCCTTTGATCTTTTTGATCTGTTGTAAAGCCCCAATTTCCTCAGCTGACAAACTCACACAGACATCACAGCTTTTAAGGCCAGCGCACCAGCGTTTCCCCCTGCTGCTCTGACACAGTAAGCAGTGCTGTCGCTGTCAGATGATACTCAGATGACCATCGAAGTGTTTCATTTCACCGCATACTCATCATCCATAAAGTATCTTCCGCAGAGACCGGAGAGGAGCTCTACAGGAAGATGGAGCTCGGATGGCAGTAGCCCACTCAGTTTGTTATGTAACAATCAATTTGATTAAATAGCTTATGGGCTGCATCAAACTGATAGCGTATTATACCATTGAGCTTTATGTAAGACAGCGGTCACTTAACAAAATGGTCCAATATGTTCAGAGCCCCTCTCTTTAAAAAAAAGAAAAAAATTCTTCTTGTGGAAATCAAGTTAGGTTTTTTACTGTGATTAAACGGAGCACTCTTTTGATTAGAAATCCTCCATTTCTAAAGTGTTTCCAATCTTCCAATACTCATAAGCGACGATGAGCCTTCACCAAACTTGGCGGCAAATGCCAGACCAGCACCGTCAGAGCAGCCATCGCTGACACTGAAGAGTCAAAGAGCAACCAGAGGCTGGCACGAGGCCTGTTTTGCCACTCTTGGCCCGGGGATATCAATAGCTTTCTTATTTCTCCTCTTTTCTCCAACTTGCACAGTTTTACTGATCTGGGAGGTGTGAGGATGCTGGCATAAACAAGCCAAAGACTGCAGTGTAAACTGGGCCTTCCTGTTGTCCGTAGCTGGAGAAGTTTAGACAGAGGATGCTTGCCTCTCAGTTCAGGCATGGCTGGAGATATGCTCGCATAAACAAACAGGAAAAAACACTCTTCACTTTGCTCCACTCGCATTCTCTCGGCTGTTGCTAGTGCATGATCTAAAATGAGTCTCTGTGTGTACAGTACAGTGCCTTGCTTAAATGCATGCATGCACAGAAAGCAGCAGCATTAACAGCAGCAGACATGGATGTGCATAGCCTTTGGCACTGCATCACGTAATACAAAACCTCTAATGATTTAGACCATTAGAGGATACAACCAATAATGCAACCTGTGAAATTGTTCAGTGTGTGCACTGCACACTCCAATTCAACTGTTGAATCAGTCCCACACAGCTACATTTATAGAGGCATTGATCAAGCTGCTGAGAAAGTCGTGCTTCAGCTATTAACTCAAAGATCCATCTCATCCAATAATTGTATAAGGCCTTATTCTCTCCTCCACACACACGCGCACACACAGTCAGGGCAGATGCACACCATTGGAGCAGCTGGGACAAGCGAGATCTGTCATGGGTCATTAACTGCTCTTATTAATTCATGAAGCTTGATTCACTCGGCCCAGTCGTGTTCTGCTGCCATAAAACAAACGTCCAGTCCAACCCACGGGCGAAGGCATTCTTCGTGTGGATTTTGACAGCATGTCGCCATCCTGGTTCATTTTATTACTCTATTAGTGCCTATGAAACACTTCCAGCTCTATGTGCAGGAAGCCCATTTATTTTCAAAACGTGCCAACGTTGTAACACGCGTGGAAGGAGCTGCGAGAGAACCAAAGTCTTTTCCTGCGTCATCTTGCAACTCTGCAGAGGCTTTTGCCACATCAAACTATGAGCTTCCCTGCAACCGGACCTGTGTACACTTGCACTTGTACATACACCGAGTCATTTTAAACTGAAGCAAAAGATTTGATGCATTTACAGAAAGACAGAAAACTGTTGCAACCAGTTCCAAAGAACAAAACAAAACAAAAAAGAATAATCATGACAATAAAGTGGGATGAGTGTGAGTGGTGGTTTTTAAACCCTGCTGATTGAAAACAGGTTTGGGATTACTGAGGAGAGTTCAAAGGGCATCCCAAAGGGACCCAGGTACACTCAGGACAAAATGTAATCTGTTTTCATTTTGTTTAAGTTTCTGGACATTACCCAGACTGAATAAGGGAAAAGGATGGCTATTTCTCTCAGGATTTATCTTGCTGTTTAAAGCTGCACAACCAAAACACTCCCTAATTTTGGCTTATGAGGCGAAACCTAATGAATTTTGTTTTGTAACTTCCCACAGGCCCCAAACCTGAAATAAAAGTGCCCACATGATCCCAACGACCAAAACGGTCAATGCATCACACAGTGCGCGGCGTTTACCTCCAGGCCTTCCTCGTGCCCTCAGCGCAACCCTGTCTTCCTCAGAATGAACTATTAATGACACCGTGCGCCTTCATATTTCAGACCGTGCTGTCGGGCTGCAACTGGCCTTTTCAGACATTTGACTCTTTCTACACAGATAAGCAGAGTCCGTCTCTCCGCAGGGGCCCTTTACACAGATTTCAACACCAGTCACGTCATCGGATCACCTTTCAAATGTCAGACAGCCTAAGCTCATTTTATTCCCCCTCTAGAAAGGAGTTATTCCCCGTGTCAGTGTTTGCTCCAGCATGCACAACGTTGCGAAAGAGCCGCTTTCATATGCACAGACAACGAAAGCGGATGTGGGAGGCAGACCACCCTCCCATCCTCCCTCCCCTGCCGCCCCCGTCCCCCAACATATATATATTTTAATATATATATATTTAATGGGGGGGGGGCATACAATCTGTCAAAATGTGCAAGGATTTTGGTTGACTCGAGTCTATCACTGATTACAAGACGAGCGGTTTCGCGGTGTTCCGTTGATGTTGTCTGCACTGTCTGCACAGCACCCCCTCCCGATTTTTTTTCTGTTGCATCTTTAGGATTTACCTGCCGTAATGAGCCACACAGTCTGCAGGCTGCCGTCATCCTTACGATTATTTTTTTTCTGCACAGCTCAAAATATGACAAAAGCAGGCCCGCTTACTATTTGTGTCAACTTACCCTCTCTGGCTTTTAGCAGTACAGTGTTGGCTACTATGTTCTCCAGCTCCATCAAAAAGAAAAAAAAAGAGAAAAAGAAAAAAAAAATCCTAAACGCAGAGGTTTCTCGGCACACAAACGTCTGCGGCGAATACAGCGTCCTTCAGCTCTGTGCGATGCGTTTCTTTTTCTTCACTCCTGGTGACTATCCAAGTAAAATTCACTCATATCAAAGTCGTAAAGGATAAAACAGGATGTCATAAATTTGCTTGCAGTGTAAGCTGGGCATGGTTCTTGTTGTGGGCTGGAAGTGCGGCGCTGCATTTCTACTCCAATCCCCCCAAAACCATTCCATGCGTAATTTGGGTAGGAAATCTCCCCGACGCATAAAATAATTATTTCTGGAAGATCCGATGTCTGCAAACCGGGTTCTTTCGGCGGCGGATCCTTAACAAGGGTACACTAGGATACCGCCAGCTTTACCTTACAACAGCAGCAGCAGGGGTTGGCTGAGTGCACGAGAGAGGACATCAGCGGGCCCCCTCCTCCCCTGTTGGTACGTAATCAAAATAGGCTGGGCCTCTCAGTTAAGCGGCGTCACACAGTGAGCCTCTACCAGAAGTTAGGCCACGATGTCTGCAAAATAAAAGCACACTACAACTGCCTGGCTCGCTGGAGGAAGCGACACATTTTATAAAATGCTTTTTGTGAATTCTACATTCACATTTTATTTGGTCCCGCACGTTTCACCTCGAGTAGCCATGAATCTCATACCCAAGAGTTTCTACAACTAGTGAGCTTCTTTCCGCCAAAGTGATTCCATTTCTGTCCCAGTAACGCAAGCACAGGTGCTCCGACTGTAGTGGCAGTAAAGATTAAAAGGGTAAGAGGTAAAGTCGCCCTCTGGTGTTCAATTTTAAACTACATACGAGAACTGGTGTGCATAACGTTATGGATCACTTTCGCGAATCAACAATGCTAAACAAGCATTTCACCTTTGAAAATATATAAATACATAACGACTGAATGCCAGGTGATTGGCCGTTTCGCGAGGAATCCAGTAATTTTGTAAGGTAAGGATTCTCAAAGGATTTATGACAGCAAGGAGCAAATCCACATTTTAGAAGGGCTATCTTTGTAATTAAACTGTAATTCTCTCTAAACATCTCCACAGATGAGCTTCTGGAAAATACACTGCCATTTACTGCTCCAAAATAAACGAAAAAGGCCAATTTTAAATCTCAAATTGGCCTTAAAATAATAAAAAATCTGTCAAAGATTTTACAGCAATGTCCGACAGGACATATTCAGGAAATATTATTCAAACCGTTAACTTATACAGCTCTGTTCATTTCTTACAAATGACTCGCTTCTTCATATTTTAAAAAAGTTGTTTACATCATCATAAGCGCGCTGTTGCTGTATTATTGTGTTTTTACAACTTTATGAGTGTTTGCTGGTGAAATGGAGGCAGGAGTGTATAAAGAGAAAAAAAAGATCTAGTGAAGAAATCAGGTCGAGTCAGTCCCAGTGTCCACTGTAGCGTTCGCTTCGAGATTAACGTTACCGACAAACCTTCATGTGGGGTCCTCTGCCCTCCTCCTGAAGACAAGCACTTTACGCTGAAGTTTCACCGGAAACTGCACTTTATATAATAAGACTTGATATGTGGAAACTTTCTTTATGGCTTGCAGGCTGTCAGGCTCTGGGTTCATAGTATAAAATAAAACGAAAGGAAGAAAAATACATTAAACTGCTACCGGAAGTGCTTAATCATGTGGCACGAGGATAACTCGTTTAGGAGCGAGTACAATCCCGCGGCTGCCCCGTTTCACAGAAGCCACAATGGATCAGTCAAAACGATTAACAAGCTTATTGACCGCTGAAGGCAGATAGGATCGATTTCTCAGTGTGCGGACGGGCTCTCATTTATATAAACAGGACGTGGGGCAGCCTGATGCACCGATATGCCGCCTGCCTAAGTGCAATTACCACAATGAATTATGGCATTTCCCCACATAACAAATGCACAAGTGCCCGGTTTGATGTCACATTGCAGCGGCTAACGT